GCACAACCCCCTGCGCAAACACGTCAAACGCGTTTACCGCCGTTCACTAAACAAGCGTTCACCACGTTCAAAGGCTGAACGCGAAACGCGCGTTCAATGAACGTGCGGTAACACAAGTTCCTTGCAGTGTCGTACCACCGGTCACCGTTCACGGGATCTGTGAACGAGGGCCGGTCACCAGTCACGATTTTCGTGACCGGCTTTCGTTCACAGAGTTCAAGTTGAGCGGGAAGGGTTTCTTTTTTTTTTTTGGGCTGGGGAGGGGTGTTTTGTTTTTTATAGGAGGGTGGGGGACATCGGAGGGTAACTCCCCATAATTTTTTTAAAATTTTTTTTCACGAATAATATTAAAAAAAAAAAAAAATGCAACCAGCAAAAATAAGGATTTTCGTTTGTTATTTTGTAGGTTATTTCGATTTGTTTTTTATTTTTTCAATGTCATCACGATGTGGGGCTTGAGGCGACTGTAGCTGAGTGATGCCCCCCCCCCCCCCCCCCCCCCAAAGAAAAAAAAAAAAAAAAAACACCTGTGTAGCACACCGAACATGTTCGGAGCTTTTCCGAACGTCCGAACATGTTCGGGTGTTCGGCCGAACGCCCCCGAACGTGTTGGGCCGAACATAAAAAAAAAATAAAAAAAAAAATTTTGGGTTTTGATTTTGAACTCGAATTTGGTTACGAATTTGAGCATACCCCCATGGCAAAAGTTGTTTGTTTTATTATTTTACATAACATACATTTTTTTCAGATGTTTCTGAGAACTTTGTTTTTTGTTTTTTTAAAATATTTTTTATGTTCGCATTCGGGGGGGTTTGGCGCTCGTTCGCGTTCGGTCGCGAACGTTCAGGTTCGGTCACCGAACTCGAACACGATGCTACACAGGAAAAAGGGATCCTACAGGTTGGAATGAAGAGGAAGATCGATGGATATCAGAAGAGGAAGCTTCTTCCCTTCTTCCACGACTGAGAAATGTACCCGGTAATTTGTCAGCTCTACTAGAAGCAATGCCCCCTCAGTGGTCTACTATCATGAAGAAATCTTCGGAAAGCGGGGTGGGGACCTGGTTTCTCTCTGATGAAGATCACTACTGTGTATGGGAAGTGTTAGGTCCGGAGTTGTCCTCAGGGGTTAAGGTGCAAGAATGGTCACAGGGGATAAGGAGTGGCCAGAAGGGACCTCTGACCCGACAACAAGAAACGACAATACAAGAAACAGCGGACTTGACAGAAGTGAGAGTCGTACAGAGCAGCAAAATGACTTTTTTACTGGGGGAAGCGAGTCAGTCCAAGGTGGAACCACTGCTGCTGGGATGGCAACATGGACAACGGGGCTCAGTGACCCAGACCCAGACACCCCTCATTCGCTATAAAGCCAAGACAGGGGTAATGGCTATCCGCTCTCAAGCCTCCCGTACTCCACTAAGCCTGGCCTCCTCCCGGTTCACAAGACTGAGGGGTGCAGAGGCGAACCAGCCAGACTGGTGACAGCAATGGCAGGCATCGCAAAAAATCCCCTCACAAAAGATGGCGAGCCTGCTGTGGCAACAGACTTTGCAGGCATCGTGTACCAGTTGTAACTGGAGATGGGGGTCAAACTCCCACCTCTGGGTCCATTGCCCCCTCGCAGATGAAATCTGGCAGTGGTGGACTGAGTTATGGAAAGACATGGTTAACATTACATTTGAATAAAATGAGGACTGGATACTGTTTGGAGCCCTCCCATCTGCAAGGCTTAACTACTTTGAGGGCTGGGGATACGTGGCATTGGTTTGCAGGGGAGTAATCATGCAAGAAATTTGGAATGCAAGAAACACACTGGTTTTCAAGGGTGAACGGCGCTCAGCCCTCCAGCAAAGACATAGTATACGCAAAAGCATCAGGCTGATGATTATGGCAGACTGGAAAATAAGCTCAGGCCGTCAGGGCAGAGGCCGACCCTGGTTTCAGAAAACCTGGGCAAGAGAAAACCAAATGGCAACAATTTCAGAGGACGGTAAATTAGGAATTGCCAGATGGTTGAAGCCACCTTTATTCTGGTAGGTGTTTTTTGGTGAATTATTACGTGTCTACCCTGTGCTTCTGGACAACGTTTTTCCATGGATACTAAAGGGTAGAGGAAGGGACGCTGGACCCGGTTTCCAGCAGCCGGGCTCTAATTTCAGTAGGGAACCACATAGATTACCTTTTTTACTCTGTGCTTCAAGACATTTTTGGAAAGTTCTTGGTAGAGGAAGGGACGCTGGCCCCGTTTTCCAGCAGCGGGGTGACATTTTCTGAGCTCTTGGTTGGTTAGCGAGCTCTGCTCGAAAGAGAAACTCGCTGAGGCAGCCAGGATAACTCCGGGTAGAATTGTGAGGTCCCCGACCTCGTTCTATTGATTTATAACCCAAGTACAAGCTTTCCCAAAAAAAAAAAAAGAAAGGATCCCAGCTGGATTCGAACTAGGGTCTGTACTTCAGCAGTTCATTGGATGTACCAACTAAAAGCTAGGCCCATTGTTTGAGCATTTCCTTGCGAAGAGCCGGCGTGCTAATTCACAGCTCGAGGGGAAGTTATGCATTGTCAGGGAAACTGTTCCGCTGTGGCTACTGTAGTCTCCGACTATGGAGTTCTGACATAGCCAATACGAGGAGACAAGGCCTCCCGGCTATGGCGACTGCCTCTCGCGCATAATGGGTCGAGCATCAGTGTTGATGACGATGGCGCTTATGGTGACGATTTGCGCCATCGCCATTGTGCTCCGTTCCGGCGTAAGTGCGGCTTACGGCGGGCGGGCTGCGAGTAATTGGCACCAGCAGGACAAGTGTCAAAGTGCTGGCAACAGTTCTGAGAACAGCGTCCGTCCTTCTTGGCATGGAAGTAGGGTCTCCCACGATACTCAGATTGATTCGCTTTCACTCGACGAGCAAACGACTTTCAACTCCAGGTTCCTCGAAGTTACCGATGGCATACTCCCGACCGTCCTGAATGCTGACCTGATAGTGAAGAGGACGAAGGTGCTCACGGTGACACCGAGTCCGGTGTTTCCCACTACGAACACGAGCTCGTTACTCGAGTGCTTTGACAGTCTGGAGAACCTTGTGCTTGCGCTCAATGGTTCTGTCTTGTATTACGTTCGCGACCAGCGGTGCTTCTTCAACACGTCGGGCATACCGTCTCATTGGCTGGTCTCCGTACGAAGAGCTGAGCGGATGCCAGCAGCAGCAGGGCGGGGAGCTTTTTAGAACGACTCGCTTATTAGTTACTGGTGGGAGTTTAACGATCCCGATGGAATGGTACTCTCCTCGGCGACTGTGTTCAAACAGGACAAGGAGATGGAGGCGATGGCGTATGTGAATGGCATGGACTTGTTGGATCAAGGAACGACTTTGGTACTCGGAGTTCAGAAGCAAGATGCCTCGAACGCGACGCTTGCGGACGGAAGGGCGATGGTGACGTTGCTCTCCGCAGTGAATGGCAGCAGGCGATCGCTTCCGTTGCCCGGACTGGTCACTGCTGGTATGGGGCTCGATCCGACGAAGACCAACGCCTACCTTGTCGATCTCATGGATCCACCGCGTGTGATGTCTGCGGAGGCTGCCAGTCTGTTGCGCAATAGTGTCAGCACTACAGACGACGACTTGTTGAATCCAGAAGCCACCTTCCCTCGCGTAACGGGGTTGAACCTGTCCAGGTTGATGGTCCGTCCGCACCGATTTACCTCGGATGGAAGCTGCCTGCACATCGTTGATATCAGGGAGGGCAATATCTGGACCGGCAATCTGTCTGCGAGGAACATAACTCTCGCCGCTGATCCGAACCTAGTTGGTTTGGAGGAGGGAAAAAGCGGCTATTTGAGAGAGATTGCAGTGACCAAGGACGGCTGCAATGCTTTCGTCACTGACCTTGACGGTCAGTTGCGATGGATGCAGTTAAGAGCACAGTGCGGCGAAGCGCAAAGGGTGGAGATACCGGCGAGATATAGGGAAGGAGGGTTCTGGGGTTCAGCGATCCAAGAAGAAGACAATCAGCTTCGCTTGTACGTTGGAACGACTGACGGACTCATATTCGAGCTGGAGATGAACAGGTCCGCCCTGCACACATGCCAGCCACGCTCCCGACCCCCACCGCCCTCTACTACCGGTCGCGTTCCCCTTCCCACATCTTCTAATCCACCTCCTCCTCCCACCATCTCATCGTCCTCTCACCCGCCCTCCGCTGACTCCCCCGGTTCCGCTCAGAAAGCCAAAAGGCACCGCAACCTAACCCTAGCTGTCTATCTGCCCGTGGCCATTGTGGCGGTCTCTGCCATCTTGGCAGTCCTCATGATTGCTGTCTTCTACTACCAGAGGCGGGAAGGTCGAAAGCGGCAGGAAGGCGCGCTAGAACGGTGCGGACCTTCCGCTCGCGATTCATCCACGTCCTCCCTCGTCGGAAGCGGTAAGGGAGCATCAACCGCGCATGAGGGTACTATGGAGGACTTGCTGCCGTTCAATGTGACGGCGTACCCGCTGGAGACCGTGGCGCTCGTCACCGGTGATTTCAGCGCTGATTATCGGATAGGAGACAACGGTGCTTTTGGCGATGTCTACTGGGGTAATATTGGGGGCAGGGAGGTGGCTATCAAGGTGATGAGGGGGGAGATCACGGCGGAGAAGCAGAAGCAATTCGTGGCCGAAGTGACCACATTGAGCAGGCTCCATCACTCCAATCTCATCGACCTGATAGGTTACTGCCAGGAAGGGAATTCGTGTATCCTTGTATACCCGTTCTTTCGGGGAGGAAGTCTGTGCGCGCGCTTGCACAACACAGATGGGACTCGTGGGAGAGCATCCCGTGCAGCTCCTGTTGGTCCTCCTCTTACGTTAGTGGAGCGCATGTGTATAGCCTTTCAGATCGCCAAGGGTCTCCGCTATCTCCACACGGAAGTGGAACCCCCGATCATTCACCGGGATATCAAGAGCAGCAACGTCCTTCTGGAAGATGGATCGGGGGCGAATCTGCGCGCCGTCGTCGCCGATTTTGGACTGGCGAGGATCTGTGAGAGCCTCTTCCATACGCAAGCCGAGGCTATTGCGTGGACGAGCCACGCGGCGGGCACCCAAGGCTACATGGCACCGGAGTACCTGCTGAGAGGGAAGCTGACGGTCAAGAACGACGTGTATGCTTTTGGGGTTATCCTGCTCGAGCTGCTGACAGGGAGGAAGGTGCTCACGCCGGCGCCGCCGCCAGAGATAGGATGGCGGACACTCGTGCAATGGGTGACGCCATCGCTGGGACGTCATCTGTATGTTGACGACATACCGATCCAGATTCTCGACACGTGTCTAAGGGAGCAGGTCAGGACCGATGCTGCAATGAAAAGACTGGTGGCGGGTGCACTCTTGCTGGCGCGTGACTGCGTCGAGGAGGTGGACAGCTCGAGGCCAACGATAAGCGCGGCCGCAGAGAGGTTGGGTAGTCTCCTGTCAGGGGCAAACGTAAGGGGCAGGGCAAATAGGTAGAGTACTGGGCGAAGGAAGACAAAGTGCCGGAGGGCGATGGAAACGACGGCAAAGTCCAGTGGTCTGTGCACTTATTGAGGTAAAGAAACACGTTTGCAAGCCATTGGATGACAGGATCAGCATGACGAAGGAAATTTAAATAAGAAAAAGAACAAAAAGGACAAGAACAACCAGAGAAACAGTTAAACGAAACAAAAATAAGACACGTGACAACTCAGCGCGTCGCGCTGTCATACTCCACATCGTCCCCCATTCATCCCTCTCTCTCTCTCTCACACACACACACACTCAGCAGCACACGCGGCGCTGCCACGTGTCGGTGGGATTTGAGAGAGGGTGAGAGAAGGTTCGTAGCAGACCCCCACGGTGCCGCCTCCCTCTCTTTTTTTTGTTCTTTAGTTTTCCTCTCAGATTTCTTCGACTGCCTCTTTGTAGACATGTGCTTGCAGGTTTTTTTTTTTTTTTTTTTTTTTTTT